TTTGTCTAGTGATTCTGTTCTTCCATCTGCTATTTTTTTCCCCTGTTTACCACACCTGTGCCGTCCTGATGCAGTTGTGGCCTTTGTGCTTAGGGAAATATTCATTGATGGTGTGTCAGAGCATAATCACAGAAGAAGCTGAGCAAGCCTGGCTGTGCTCCAACATAGCACTTCCATTAACTTCAGAGGAATAGTTTCAGCCCTTGAGGTTTTAAGTATGTGTCAGGTACTTTGATGGGTTAATGTACGAGACACTGCTTTGTGGGATTCAGACCAGTTAATTATTTTGATACTACCCCGTCACTCCACACACCTCCAAATATCTACCTTGTTCTATTTCACATATATGCTTACCTTTACTGTTCATAATAGGCTCTGAGCAGTGCAAAAATCCATTCAGATGTGCAAATAGTACCCTGTTCCCTCCAGGGGTTTAAATAATTTCATCTTTAATGCCTAAAAGAGCAATGTTTTAAGAGCTCCTCCAAAAATCCCAGGTGAGGTAACAAGTTCTACCTTTTAAAAGGTCACAATGGCCGGGATATTGTGCCAGATTTAAATTACGGAGAATGAAAATAGAGATACTTGTAAAGATAGTGGCCTCTTTTTCAGGAAGTTTTTTAAATTTACAACCCAATTTCTATAATAGGAAAGAGTTTTTAAATTAATTTTGTGAATTATTACTGAATACAACGTGTAGTTTGTATCTCAAAGAGCAATTTGGCATTTCCTTTCCAGCAAGTGAAGGCTTAGGCTCAACTTTTATTCAGCAGCAAGGGATTACTTATGTGAAAGAAAGAAATGAAGCAAAGCAAGGAACAGGAATTGATCATTCTGGAAAATCTGATACCAGGTTTGTGTGCTGTAGGATATTCAAACTGTGTGGGAATGAGTTAGACTGAGTGAATGCTAATGGTGCTGAGTATTGTTTTTATACCTAGCACATTAAGAAAAATGAGAATTACTTTCTTGTGTCACTTTAGCAATTGGTGACAGACCACTGCAGCGTTGTATGTGTACAAAACAGTGATTTTAGTCTACAGTTAATGTCACTGTGGTTGAAGTGTGATGAAAGACTAGCAATGTAGCATCTGCCAGAAGCAACAAGCTGGCAAATACTTTTCTTGTATTTGTTCCTGTAGGCGTGGTTCTGCCCAGATCTTCCCTAAGACCCAGTGGAAGAAAAAACATTGTTTCAACATGACAACAATATGGATTTCACCCCTACCTGTCTATTCTTCCTCTGCCAAAAATATAGTACAACGAATCCTACTTCTGGTCTCATGCCATTACTGAATGCAGAGTGTATGCTCAAAAATGGGATTCCACTGATTATATTTGCCTCCCTCTTCTGCCTTCTGATTTTTTTAAGTATCTGTTCCCAAGGAAGACGCTTCCATTGCTGCTCTCTAGTAATACTTTATTTTTCCTTAATATGGGGTATATTGTCTTTCCTTAGTAAATGCTATCAGGCGCTTGAGAGAAGGCAGTGATGTGGCTTAAGGGGATGATTTTTCTACAGTCCCCCTAATTCTCACATCTGTCCTTCACCTCAGATTCAGGACAGCAGCACATGCCTAGTCATACATTGAAAAGTAGTGGGACTTGTCAAAGTGCTGTCACTTGCTCATAAGAAAGAGTCTTCATTTGGCCAGGGAACAGTCTCATTCTTGAGACAATTCCTCCTTCTGCCACTTCCATCCTCACCTTCAACTTCATCCATTTCTGGGACAAAGTAATGTAAAATAGAAAGAATTCTATTGCATCAGAAGAGTAAGATTTGGGAAAATATTTTTCCTAGTTTAGATTTTAGGAATATATAATCTTAGAAATTAATTTTCCAGTTAAATAAAGAAGCTTGCCTCCTGTGAACAGAATAAAATCTGTGTAATTTGACAAAACGTCACCACAGTGGAATTTGAGATATACTAGTGCTGTGAGTCTTAAGTGAAAAATATGATTTGCTCACATTTTTAATATCTACTGATAAATGGTTTATAAAAGAGTAATAAATGACTAATGTGTGCTTTAATAAATGATTCATCAATTCCTATAGAGACCTGTAAGTGAATAGGTTGCTTGTCACCATGATTTATGATGACTTCCAGCACTCTCTTCTGATTCAGTTGTGCTACCCACTGGGGTAAAACAGCCCCTGGAGTACAATATGTATCACCGTCTGCTCGTGGTTCAAAGAAGATATGAGACTTTCAGAGCACCATCTGGAGAGATTTATTTTTCAGCTCAGGCTGTTGAGAAACACACTTGTAGCTTTGAGAGTCCCTGTCTTGATTCTTGGTATTGACTAAATCATGGACCAAATACTGAGCTAAAAGCACTTTTAAGGTTCCTTCTGGCTCTATTCTCCATACTTCTTTTTAAAAAAAAAAATCTCTTAGATGTGGTATTGTTATTTTCCATGCTAGAGATACCTTACTGACACAAACCAGATCTGTCCATTCAGTTTGCACATTTAAAAACAACTAACCTCTCCTCCTCTTCTTTTGTGATGTGAAAGTCAACCCTGGTCCTTCTCATCTTGTTTTACAGGGAAAATGTTGCCCTTTTGGACTCCTAATTAATCTTATTTCTTTCTCTGTGGGTCTTGCCAGTGAGCTGGACCTTACCTTTGGACACTAACAATCTGTTAATGGTAGATGATTCCCCTGTAACTCCCTCATCTAGACCCTTACATTTGATTTGGAGAAATCACTACTGAGGACTGTAGTTGTGTGTAAAACTGAGCAAAAGAGCGCTGTCGTTTGACTAACGTGCAGTTCAGGAACATGGCCAGGGCACCAGCCCTCTTTCACTTTGCTGCTGGGAGGGAAGTCAGTGTGTAAACCAGGCTGAACAGAGGCAAGACCAGCAGAAGCTGCCAGCGTGGCTCAGCAGGGGGGTGAGAACAAGCTGAGTTGGGTTTTTTTTTTATTTCACCTATTGTTCTGTCATGCTGGATGTTGGAAGGCCAGACAACTGAGCTGAGGTACTTGAACAGGAATAAGCAGATCTGAACAGATGAGAAGACACTGTTGCCAGGTGAATAGTTAAGAAATAGAGCTGTACTATGGCCTAAATGTTATGGGAACCAGTTATTAAATTCTAGCAGTCTGTTTGAATTGGAGCAAACTGTCTCCAGTACTGCTTTGTCACGAGAAATAGTTTTGTGGAATGGATAAAAGCATTTTAGAAAAATCACATGAGCAAAATGCACATTGGAATTTCTATTTGGCTCCCGTTTTTGGACTGTGAGACAATTTACATGCAGAGAAAGCAGAATTCATACATAAACTCAACAGAGCAGGACAAAGCCTCTACAGCTGTTAGTAAACTTTGGCATAAAGAACAGCTTCATGATGGCTAGAGATCATCAGAGATGAGCTCTTTGGCCATCCTTGTTTTTTCTAGAGCTGTAAATACAGCTAGTAAGGCTCCCAAATCATATCCTACACTTCAGAAAACCCCTACACTAGATAAATGTTTGCACTGACCTTTTCACTCAGCTTCATGTCCGCTTTATACTCTTGTAGCAGTTCACTAATACAGTTGACATATCTGAAGCTCCAGGTGCCCAAAAGCTTCCTTGAAAACAAATGAAAGATATTACCTAGTATATTTTTCCCATGCGAAAGGGAGAATTCCAAGATAATTTCTCTGGTCATAGAAAATAGAGGAAACAGGATCAAGGCAGGATGGCTATTCCTGTGTCATCCTTGTAAGGTATCTCTCACCTGTTCTTCAAACATCCAGAGATCAAAAATTAAAAGGCTCCTCAGTCTGTTCCTGAACAAATCTTAACAATGAAAAATTCTGCATAGCCTAATCTGAATTTCCTTTGCTGGAACTTAAAATCATTACATCTTCTGTAATCCTCGTAGATGTGGAGGACAGATTATGCCCTTAATATCTTTTTTTACTCTTGTATAATCAGGACCATGCAAAAAGAAGGCAACGTTGCAACTTAGGTTATATTGTCTATTTCTTAAAATAAATAAATAACTCTTGTGCTAAACCTGTGACACTCATGTTTTTTCCCACAAATATTAGTCTAGCAGATTTAGTGAAAACAAAAGAGATCAAGTTGTCCCATAACTGACTTGTGTTCTTTCATGTTTAAGGTGAGACAAAGATGTAGATGTACGTGTGTTTCGACTGGAGGCCATTTGCAAAGTATCTATTAATTTAGTTTAGAGAGTATCGATTAGTCAAATGAAAAGGTATGTATTTAAATCCATGTGAAAGGAAACAAGTATCTAA